TATGCCGATTTTTTTTTGACATTATGTAGGTTATTCTACAAGATTTTAATTTAGCACTTAGTTGTACGTGTTGCCTAAACGTCATGAGGCTTGTTATCAATCTTTGGCTTTGATGTGATGTAAAATCTGCTTCTGAGATGGCATTACTGGAGGTCTAAGCTGTAAGTTGTATGTGTTGATGATAATTATATTAGGTTCTTGTCTCAAATACACTTAATTGAGATTCAAAGCTAGAAATTAGTTGCGCATCCACTTTTTCTTATACATTCTGGAAATTACATATACTAATTTGCTGAATTTCAAAAATGAGAGAGATAAGAAATAATTATATTCACTGTACACTGTCGAATTACAAGCCATATACATGCTAACAGTAATTACACCCAACGCGGGCGCGGTGATGATTTCCCGAAATTCTCCTCATTTTTTCGTAATTTATAACTTTGAACAAAACCTCTCTCCAGAAAGCACAACATATAAATAACCTGTCAGAGATAAAAACTACAGACCCGGCACGGGTATCATGTAAAAAACCTATGAAACGTCAAAAAAAAAAAACCTATAAGATGTCAACTTGCAGACTAGGTAGTTTTTAGGGCGCAAACAGTCGTTCCACGTTTGCTCACTAGGATCGTTGTGAACGTCCATCTATGGAGGAATCACTCAACTAAACTACGCATTACTGGTTGCATAGTTTTGTGAGGCTGAGTGATCCGGGTCTATAGTTTTTATCTCTGAGAAGAAAGTTGGTTGAATAGCAAGATCGCATGTGGGTGAATATGTGTATTGGTCTGTATGTGTGTATAAAATCAGTGATATTTGCTGTGTGAGAGAGGTGATGTTCAAAGTTATAAATAACGAAAAACTGAAGAGTATTCAGGGAAATCATCACCGCGCCCGCGTTGTGTGTAATTACTGTTAGCATGTATATAGCTTGTAATTCGACAGTGTACAGTGAATATAATTATTATCTCTCTCATTTTTGAAATTCAGCAAATTTGTATATGTCATTTCTAGAATGGATAAGAAAAAGAGGATGCCCAGCTAATTTCTAGCTTTAAAACTTATATCTTGGACCTCCAGTAATGCCATCTCAGAAGCAGATTTTACATCACATCAGAGCCAAAGATTGATGGCAAGCCTCATGACGTTTAGGCAACGCGTACAACTAGGTGTTAAGTTAACATCTTGTAGAATAATCTACATAATGTAAAAAAAACCAGCATAATGTCAAACAAAATCGGCATAATGTTACTTTTCAAGATACGTGATTCCCGTGCCGGATCACTCAGCCTCACAAAACTATGCAACCAATAATGCGTAGTTTAGTTGAGTGATTTCTCCAAAGATGGACGTTTACAACGATCCTAGTGAGCAAACGTGGAATGACTGTTTGCGTCCTAAAAACTACCTAGTCTGCAAGTTGACATCTTATAGGTTTTTTGACGTTTTATAGGTTTTTTACATTATACCCGTGCCGGGATGAGATACGTCTAGGGGAGACGCACGTTTCACGATTTAGGTCTTTGGGCTTATCATGGTAATCTTTGTACCAAAACACAGCAGAATATACCATGTTCTTGAAAAAATAGCAGTCTCGGGCGTCTAGGGTTGGCGCCCCTCCAATTTCCGCCCTTGGCTCGAAGTTGGTAAAGGGTTAATGTAACATCTGAAAATTATTTTGTAGTTTTTTTAAAATGTATGAAATAAGTAGTTAGTCTAACTATACCATGTGCGGAGCTTAACATCCAAAATAGAAATCTCAGACGGAAAGTATGTTCTATGTTCATATAAAGCTTTAGAAAATGTTTTATTCTTTAGGAATGCTAAAATAATGAACTACAATCGCTTATTGACTACGTGTTATAACTAGGTCGGTATAACGGTCAGAATAAGAATAAATATTTTAACCAATAATAATCTGAAACGGCAGTGAATAATTATATTAAGCTTATAAACAGACTACATTCTTAATCGACAACAACAAAGTATTAGAATATCAGAAATACATTATACAGGGTAAATCGGAATAACATAGTAGATTAAACAATATTAATAAAAAACTACTTACAACGCTGAAAAATTCCACTTCAGGACAAACAATCGCCAAAACGGAGAAAACTATCTGTAAATACGAAAACAACAACTTCACAGGTCACAATACGGTTAACTGATTATTGTTAAAATTCATTAATGAAGTTTATAAAAACTTAAGTAAAATCCACACTAATCGATGGTGAAATAATTAAAACGAGGTTCAGTTTCCAAAAAATTTTATTTTAAGAAGTGAAGAGAGTATGGCTATATTCAATGTTGCCAACGAGACAAGGTGCCCAGACAATAGCATCATGCACAATATTCAGAGATAGGGACGGGGCAGATTTGTACACACTAGTGGTAAAAAGTAGAGGCTAATGAGTTTTAGACTAACATCAAAACGGAGGTAAAATTATTTAATTATGAAAAGGAGATTATGAAACTATATGGTGTAAATGAGAAACATTGCTCTTCGAAAGAAATTCTGTCTACCTTAGTGTACCAGCCTTAAATGATATCTTTGTTTTAATGAATATCTTTCTAATATCAATGCAAATCTACCCCCTCCCTACCCCCGAATGTTGTTCATGCCGTTATTGATATATATATATATATATATATAACTTGAGACGTGATCATTGTCGTCTAGACCAGTTAGGTGAAAAATTAAAGCTTCCGCCTTTTGTTGGGTACTTCTGGGATTAGAATCGGACCAATACCGGCAGTTATGACGATTTAGTACGCCATTTAAGAAAAAGCAAGTGTTGAATATAGAAAATGTTCATCGTTTATAATTCGTTCCTACGGATGAAAACTATGGGCCTTTAGAATCCGTTGGACAGTACATCGACTAACACCACACACAGTCTCCAATTTGCGGGTACTTAACGTAGGATCTACATAAACTTGCCCTAAAACCCCCACTTCTATTGCCTCGTTCCTTATGGGATTTTCAATGTTGCGTTTTTTATTGGCGACTGGCCCAGTTTCCCGAAATTTAGCTACAAGTTCTAGAACATATTTTCGATGCACGTTACTGTTCTCATGTCGCTCATTAAATATTTCTGCTGTTCTATTAGCGCACTGATTATTTCCGGAAAATATTTCGATAATTTCAACTCTTTCTGCTGTGGAATATACCATGGTTAATTTATGTAATAAAGCATTACAAGTTATTTTAGCAACAAAATTTGGCCAAATCAATCGCAAACTACTCGTATATATTAAATTCCTATTTAAAATAAGTACGAGATATTTCCTCTTTCTTCAAGAAATAATTTTTTTGCCACAAAAAACGCTCCAATAGCTATTTTCAACAACAAAATTTTAGGGTTGGTGTTATCCCCGCCCAGGGGGCTGCACGTGTTCACGTGATTTTTTGCCAAACTTGTGTCCCCCTCGAAAACAAAATCGACGGGTCTAAGCGTTTTTCAAAAAAAAAACTGAGCTGCCAGTAAATGCGTGTTTTGTTTTCGATGCGCCACCCTGTATCTATATATATATATATATTGGTTAATAATAATAATAATATTTATTACCCATTAGACATGTATAAAACATGTATAGGGTTCGTCAACAAACAATTTGCAGTATGAATATACATAAAAAAGCAAACAGTAACATGACAAGCAACAACAAACAATAGGTTAAATTAGATATTTTAAAATGGATACCATAGGCTAACAACAGCAGATAAAGTAGATTAGCTTTCCAGCAGTTAAAATTAATAAATTAACAGAAATGCAATATAAAAATATATAAAAGGACAAACAATAAGTGGATAACAAACAATACAAAAAAAGAACATTGATCATTGGAAGATGACATTGAATACGTCAAAAAAACATACATACAAGACATATCAGTGAAGGAGGAAATAAAAATTACATCACTGAAACATAAATACACACAGAATACATGTAGATAAAAGGAAAACACATATTGGTTGCTTATCTTGTCTCATTGCCAACATTGTATATGCTCTGTCGTTTCTTTTTATCCCTTCCTAAAATTAAAATTTATACTAACGCGTTCCTGCCAGCTGGAATAACCGCCATGTTTGATTTTGATAATTTCTCCATCGATTCGTATGAATTTTACTTAAATAGCTTTTAAGAAACTTAACAATGACCAGTTTTCCATACTGTGACCTGTGAGGTTGTTGTATTCATGTTTTGAGACGTTTTTCTGCGTTTTAGAGATTGCTTGTCCTGATTTCAATGTTGTAAGTAGTTTTTTATGAATGTTCATTCAACATTTTTGTAGCATTCCTGAAGAAAATAATCATTTTCGAACGCTTGATATGAACGCAGAACAAGCTTTATTTCTGGCATTCTGATTTTTGGCTGCATTACGGCTGCAACGTCAAGATTTCTATTCTGCATTCTAACTAGTCAGCCATGACAAGCAAGATGTTATACAAACAGTGACAAGCATAAATGTGGAAAACTCATACGAAAGCGGCACAATTCTCAAGGAGGTGAGACAAACTAAAAAAAAAAAAAAAAGAACGTGGGCTGTCACAAGCATACAAACTCGTATTTATGGCTGAGAGAGATGATGAATGAAAGTAATTCCTGTAGTTTTACTGTGGCCCATACTTTGAACTAGTTTTGCACTCATTGCTTAACAGATTTATTGATGGCTTTGCATGCAACCTATTTTTACAGTTAGTTTTCTAATGGTTTTACTCATCTCTTCTCCGGAAATTGCCCTTTACAGAGCGACAATGCACAATGAAATGAAAGAAAAAATCGTTGACAAATAATAGCACGAGACATGAAATGATTTGAGAGCAAACTTTGGATCAACAAGGGTAAAGTGTTTCAAGCACGGACACTATCAGTTTTATTAAAAGAAAATCTCCCACCACGGAAGTTACAGTGACCATACTTTTCCCAGGCTGTATACTTTTTATTTACTTGGTCGCTTTTATCACGGTGTGGGACTGTACAGGAATCAGTGAGATCAGTGGGATTTTTGCCGTGGGAACAATAGAACGGACTGGCGGGCAGAAATGCAGCGGATTCTGAGCGTTGAGACCAGCAGAAACTCGGGAAACGCGGAATCTTCTGAGTTTGTCACCAAAAGACTTTGTTGCAGTGTTATACTTACCGTTACGTTTTTCTCACTTATTGGAGGTAAGTACCATGTAGTATTTGTGTTCCACATATGTATAGGGTGTTCCAATATATGTAGACAAACTCTCTGATTCATAAAAATAATTAAGAAAAACAGCGTAACTAGTTTCCATAATAAAACGCGTTAACATTTTAGCCCCTTATAACCATACGTCCATAAGTCATATTGCTTTTTAGAGATATGAAAAAAAAAATTAGGTTGATGTAGATGACTAATTTACGGATGAATAAATCAAATAAAAAAAAGATATTTCAGGACAAGCTTTTATATAGCTGTTCAAAAATGAACTAGACGCTTAAAAATACTTTTTTTTTATTGGAAATATTTAAACAATGAAGCCCTATCTCAAGTTTTAAAATAAACGCGCGTTATACCCTTCTTTCATCCTGCTGTCAAAACGTACCACGCTTTTATTTGAAAAGTTGAGACGAAAGAGTTTCATTATCAACCGGAAAAATTATTTTTAAGTCTTTAGTTCATTCTATGAACAACTAAATAAAAACGTTTTTAAAGTTGTGGTTGTTATTCTATTTATTTTTAAAACTTCTTAGTTTATTTATTTTATAAAATTCCGATAGATATAATCATAAAATGATCAATCGGTATTTTGCGTTAATCGTTATAAGGAATTTAAAATGACGTAATTTGCTCTTCATGTTTCACATATCCCACTTTAAGCCCGTTTATTTGATACCCATATCATAGCGGTGACCACGAAAATTATAAATCGCTATTTAGCGGCGGCCACCATTGGATCTAGGATGACGTCACGTTTATTGTGTTTCCCTCATCAAGCCCTTTCATTTGATACCCATACCATAGGGGTTACTACGGAAATGACACATCGCCATTTTGTAGCATCCGCCATATTAGATTCAAAATAGTGACAATTAATTCATTTTGTACTGTCACGCAAATCAAACGTGTGTACAAAATTTCAGCTAAATTGGTTACGGTTCACTGATTCAAAATTCAGTTCTAATATTGGTCCCACACATACTGACATACACCCATACTAAAATATTGATAACATACTATCACACAGGTCAAGTTAAATAAATGTAAGAAATACAAAAAATAATTATTTAAAAATGCGCCAAATTTTTGCAGAACATCAATGTGCGTATTTATCGGAATAAAAGTATGGCCAATAAGGAGGTCATCCAACAAAAGTTATCTCCAGTTTTTATGGTGTAAATATAAATAAGGGGATAGTAGAGTAGTAGAATCTGAGTACCGTTCAGTGGAACAAAGAAGGAAACTGAATAACATTTAAACATTTTTATTGAGGTACTTATTAAATTAGTCTCAGAGCGTCAGACTAGGCGGTGGAGATAATTAATAAATCAGTAGCTCGATGAAAAATAAATTAAATCTCCCAGTGCGTAGTGAATGACTTCTCATATAGTCATTATAATTAAAGTCCAAAGTCAATTTACTTGACGTCATTTTATTGAAATGGCTTTCTGCGACCTCGTAAGACATATCATTATATCATAGTACATTATTTGAACAAAATTACAACATTCTAGACACACAGACTTTGCACCCTCTAATAATCTGCTGTTGAAATTTCATGTAGGTACAATATTTTCATGCCTCAAGATTCTTTTATATTTTTGTTAATTTCAGACAGTCTCATATTTTGCGTTCTGTATGACCAATACCAATATTTCAGTGTTAACGCGTCTCCCGACAGAGTCTGGTTTCCAAGATACAGGGAGACGTGTTTTCATAGTACGATAAAAAATGATAGAAAACTGTCACGGAAAATAAAAAGTATGGTCTTTCAAATTGAACATTTCCTAGCAACGATCAAAATTACTTGAATTTATTACTTCCCATGCCTACTGCGAGGAAGTATTGTAATCGCGACATTTTGAAAACGAAATATTATGTTTTTTGGATGTTATATGACATTTACATCACGAAAAATCATGTCACTCATTTCTGTCGGTCTGTCTGTCCGACAATCTTATAAGTTTTGGTTTTTGAAAATAGGTGCAGCAGCAGCGGAGAAAAGGGCCAAAAGAGATAACGAAGAAATAATTCACCGGGACTTCGTTTTTTTGACGTTTTAAAGGACCCTGATCATTACCGGATTTTTTTTTTTGTAGAGATTAAAAATTGGAAGAAAAGTTCGTTTAATTTTTGGTTACAGTTATAACACTGTCAGAATCCAACAAAAATCGGCTCATTAAAATATTGATAAAAACCATTTATTTTTTCAAACTTTGGCATTCTCTATCTTGAACTGAACTTTTGTACTTGAATTTATTTTAGGAATGCGCCCTTGCAATGACGGCCTACAATTAAGTATCACCCTGTATACGCAAACTCGCTAATGTAATTATCTGGTGCAGTATGAAAAAACAGCTAAGTTTGTTAAACATGATAAATAAATGGATATATTAATGGTATCGATGATTGCATCTGTTCCAAAATCAACAAGTGAAACTTGAACGTAGGCTGGTTTTACAAATTGCTATGGTTGAATGACTTGTCTGTTTCTGAAATTCTTATATTATTAGTCAAATTATTAGTTATTGACTCTAATAATAAACTTCGTTCTACAAAAATAATGTAGCTTTGTGATTAGTTATTGACAAATCCACTGGTTACTCACCAAACTTGTAGGAGTAAAGGCCTATTCATACTCAGCCGTCACGTGATAGTGCTGTGATCGGCTCGTGATCCGCCCGGCGAAACTAAAAGCATTCTTTCTGGAATTTGGATGAACTGATTCACACGAGACCGGCACGTGGAAGTGGCCGTGTTCTCAGTGCCCTAATTGAATTTCTACGCGTACATCCCGTGCTGTAGAACCAGTCAAATTCAAAATACAAGGACTTCCGTTTTCTTCTGGTTTCTTCCTCTTCATCTTTCGTAGTTGGAAGACGGTCTCTGATTGTGGAACGTGGAGGTACCACCCGGCGGATCTCGTACGCGGGGCCAGAATGTGTGCACGGGTTCCCTCGCCAGAGTTTGTGTGGCGTCCCCCCTTTCCCCTGTGTTCCCCCCTATAGCACCGCGGTACCTCATGGGTGTTTCGGCCTCAGGCCTTCGTGGTAGTTTGAGTATAAAAAAATCCAGAATTAACGCAATGAGTGCAAATTCATCCTCTGACAATTTTGTTATCTCGACCTCACGTGAACACAAATGGACTGTGTGAGCACGGAGAAAAACACTGACCGGTGTGAATTGAAAACCCTGACATCTCACGTCATCGAGAATCACTGGCAGGTCACAGCCCTGTCACGTCACAGCTGAGTGTGAATAGACCTTAAGGATGAGGTATCAGTTACATTGGGTTAGGCTAAAAACGCGCACAGACCGAGATTACATCGCAAGGGACGTGTGGTTACAGATGTGGAGGTGTTCGAATCGGTCTGCGCGGTGGGAGCCAACATAAGCCAACTTTTTACAGGGTCGGCGTAGGCGTTCGCTTCTTGATCGGTACATCAAATGGAGGTGTGCTTGCATTAGTTTGCTCGGCGTTGGATTTTAGGTCTGTACGCGGCTTAAGAGATTCTGTAGGGCACTCCCGCATAGATATTAGCAGGAGTCCCAGTCCAAGTTCTTTATAAACTTTGAAATACTATGCCTTTGGTCACCCTCATGACTTATCCAGTAGGTGGTCCTCCTAGCAAATCGAAAATAATATATTATGCAGTTTAGTCTGTCTCCCCTCGCTTCATGCTTCACGCTTTCATCACTATTTTCTGTGGGAGTGCTGTGACCTCCTGAAATACTCATTATGCAATCACTCTTAAATTACGACTACCTAGGTGGTGCTTGTCAGAAATGCTCTTTAGTTTTGTTACATGAAGGTGTGAATGTGAAAAGAATGAGATACGAGCCCCTTCCCACTTCAGTTGGCCCACTTCAAGATTTGTAACAAAATATGCCTTTATAAACTAAACATGACGAAACTATTTACTTCTAAAACAATTTATTTTATCAAAAATATTTTAGATACACTCTAGTCGTAAAAATACATATTTGAAATCACTTAGACCTATAACTAATAGAACATCTGAACAAATAAACAATGTGCGAATAAATGCGCGAAGTTAACAAAGCAACAATTGAACAATTGAAAGATTACCATTTGGTAACATCACCTTTATTTTTTATTACGGCTGAAATTCTTTGGGGCATAGTGTTAACCAAGTTTTGGCAAAAATCTGGTGTAAAACAATCCCATATTTCTTGAAGCCTTTGTCTCAGTTCGGTGGTTGTACGAGCAGGATGTTGTCGTAGAACCTTTTTCATCTCGTGCCACAAAGTTTCAATAGGTGACAGATCTGGACTGTTAAAAACCCATTTCAAAAGTGGTACATGATTTTCTTCCATCCATTTTATAGCCTTTTTGAGGTATGGCACGCTGCACCATCTTGCTGAAACACAAAATCTTGGCCGGATGTCAAACATTCTTCCATCACTGGTAAAAACGATTCTTCTAAAATTGAAAAATATTTGTTTGTATCCACATTTTTATCAATAAAATGAAGTTTTCCTACTTCTTTTGATAACATACTGCCCCAGACCATAATGGATACTGGAAATTTCACTTTTCTCTTCAGACAGTCAACATGGAATGCTTCATTTTTTTTTGCGAATAACTCTACTGCGACTGTCACCAACACAAACTTCGAATCGGGCCTCATCACTCCATTGTTGAGGTGTCCATTGTCTATGTTCTTTAGCCCATCTAAGCCGATTTTTCTTTTGCAGTGGAGTTAATAGCGGCTTTTCTTTGGCCTATAAACAAGTTGTGCAACTTTAGGGTGTTTACGTCACTTTTTTTATAAGAAAACTTACCTTGCAAGTGCTAAATTCCAGTTTGTGGGCCTCTCTATGAGTTGTGGACCTCGAAATTCTCCTTCCAACAGCGTGACTCCACAGAGCACTTAATTATAAATAATTGGCACGCCTGTTTTTCACGATTATTCTTCTTAATGCTTTTCTGTCGGCATTTGCGATATTACTTTTTTTC